GCCCATAAGGTTCAGCCATTGAAAGAGCCTCCTTAGGTACATCAGCAGGGCTATTTGACCTGGTGTTGAGAGTGCCTTGGCAATGCAGCCCGAGCTGGGTGGGGTGGGAGGTGGGGGTCCCAAAGAGTCATGAGGCATGGCTAGTGGTTTTTACAAGGTTAATGCAGATTCAGTTCTTTCTCCTGTGCCTGGCCTATGACTATTTTACAAAATGCCCTGAGAACATTGCAACCAGCCAGTGCTTATCTTGGACTCACAGATCCTGAGAGTCACCTAAGAGAGGCTGTGGTGCAAGTTGTAGCTCATTGCCCACCACCCAAAATTCCCCAGGCAGCCACAGGCCATCCACTGCTGTAAAAGGCTTCTGCAGCTTGTCTGGCAGGGCCAGCCATCCAGGCACCGAGAGTACTCCAATTATTCAGCTCAAGTTTTGCAGGACAGGGTTCCAGAGCATCACCAAAATGGTGCACATGCTCAGATTTTACCAGACTAATGCAGTCTCAGACTTGGTCTTTTGGGGGAGGGTTCAACATAGAAAAGATGGTGCCTTCCTGTAGGTTACACATGAGGCAGGCTCCACACAATATAATGGCTCCTATCCCTCCAGCCCTAGTGCCAAACTCACACAACTCAGTCTTTTCCCATATGTCCCTGGTGCCTCTTAAGTACTACTCCTCCACTGGAGACCAGGTGAATGTATCCAAGTGAGTCTGTGTGTGGGACCTTTAATAGGGACTCTGAATTTCCAGTCACCTTCTATCTCACTGGGATGAGCAGACAGAATCCTCACTAATTTTCACTGCCAGATGTGGGAACTCCTCTTCCCAGAGCAGGACCCCTGGGCTAGGGGCCCAGTGTGAAGCTTGGACCTGTCACTCTTCTGAGGATACCTCTGCCACTGAGGTGTCCCTCTGCTGTTCAGCCACTATCTATGGGTATGAGGTCAGCCCATTTCACGTCTCCACCCCTCCTACCAGGCTCAATGTGACCTCTTCTTTATATCCTTAGTTGTAGGGGTTCTATTCAGTAGTCTTTAGATGATTCTTGAAGCTGGTTGCTCAATAATTTATTTGTAATTTTGGTGTGATTCTGGATGCATTAGGAAGTGTTTACCTAATCCACCATCTTGGACCCTGTCTCATTTCATATTCTTGAGCTGCTGCTGGCTCTTACAACTTTTTCATAGTTCTCCATGCTTTGTTTATTGAGCAAAAGAGCATCATGAGATGGGTGCAATCTCCTAGTGGAATCAGAACTTAAAAAAACACATAAACACCTGCACAATGAGCTCCTGAATTCTTTTTTTCAGGGGGGGAGGAGGGGAATTGGGGGAGGGAAACAGCGTTGGGGAATTGGGGAAGGGGAACAGACAAGTTGCTGTCCTTTTTGTTCTTCAGTCTAGTTGTGGAGGACGTCGCTTCACTGACCCCTGTTGGTATTATCATTGCGCTCTTCCCAGGTGAGGCAGACCGGTCGCTGGCCACTGGACGGCCACTCATGGTGGCTCATGGCAGCTCACGCCTGCTGCATGCCAGCCCCACTGCAGCGTACGAAGTAGCTGGCGGCTCATGGCTGCTCAGCTCCAGATCAAGCTGTTGTTCACCATCTTAGATGTAGAGGGCACAGTATCACTGGCCCTAATGTGGGATCCAAAGTGGGGCCCTGCTGCTCAGAGCTGGCATCCCAAGCCAACTCCTAACCAAGCACCACTCGGCCGACCCGCTCCTGGATTCTTTACCAGCTTGTGTGGTATACAGGTGGGGGCAGTGTTGATGCTGCAGCTACCTCTATTTACTGCATTTCCATGCCTGGCTGGACATCAGGGGTGCCTTGACCTCAATAGAGGATGTGGCAGGTGGGAAGGGTCCAGGCATGCCATGTATGAACTGCTTATGTTCAGGCTGCTCCTGCAGCCCCCAAAAATCAGCTGCCTCTCCATGAAACTACACTGAGATCCCCTGTATAAGCTCATGGTCACCATAGCCATGACCTTTTCTCCCCTCGTTCCCTCCCTCAGGTGACCACATGTGTTGGGCAGCTAAAGTCCAGAGACCAGGCAGGACCTGTGCATGGCGGGCCAGCAGCTCAGAGCAGCGGCAGCTCACTTGTCCCCAGCTCTGATTTGCCAGCCCCACTTCTCAGTTCTCCAATACTTTGGAACATACAGGTTAATAACTTCTAGATATGAAACAGGGCATGACTACAGATTTTCAGGTTGAGGTGATAGTAGAGACCTACTTGGAAAAGTTATCACATTAAATATAACAATATAACAAAATGAACAAAAAGTAAAAGCATGCATATACATGTATACCAACTGGCCCAAAGGGGCGATCAATGCCAAAACCTATATTGTGAGGTATGGATGACTCCTTAAGTTTTCTATTATAGATTTCTGTCAACATTTTTTAAGTTTGGATTTATACAATCACTAAACTCCCTCTTACTCCATGGTTGGTAATTTTATTTTTCATTGTATTTCATTTTATTTATTTACTCACTTACTTACGTACTTATTTATTTATGTATTTATTGGCTAAAGTGATTTTTTTTGCATGTTACTTAAATATTGTTCTTATCTTTGGTTTTGGGAGAAAAATTCTCTGGTTCAGTTTCATTCATTTTTATTAGCTGTCCTATTCTTTGTTATAAATAACCATTTGGGGTTCCACAAGGGTTTATGATTTTCATGAAGCCAGTGCTCTCAACCTTAGAACAATTCTGAAGCTAAACAGGATATAATGCAGGAAATAATACAAAAAATATAAAGGAATTCTCAACCTCAGCTACCTCAGCTGTAAATGAGTTTTAAAGCACCTATAGTAAAATAAGTGTAACAATGAATAAAGTTCAGTTATCATATTCATAAAGCAAACAATCTCCCAAAATAGTTGTATTATCAGAATTAATTCAATTTAGGGTAAAGATGTGTCTGTTGTCAATAAGGAAAGAATTAACATTTCAATATAACATTCTAGGAAACTTGTCTGGCAATGTAACAGAAAGCAATTTAGATTATCATCTCACATCATAGATTTTTCAAACTGCTAATGGAATTGTGAATTTAATGTAAAAATGGATTAATAAGAAAGGGATCTAAATATGTGTAAAATCAAAAGAGGAATATGACTAGGAAGAGGTTTGGTTCTACATCCTAAAGCGCTTGGAGAAATGTACAAGGAACTGTTCAGCTCTTTATATGCAAGTGAAATTAAAAGCAAGTGTCCATCAAAAGAATATGGCTATAATTTATAAGAAGTATTTATGTCGATCATTAGAAGTTATAAAATTATAAATAATGTAAATGACCAACATATAAAAAACTAGAATAAATGAAGTAACAGATAAAAGAAAATGAATCTTGACTGTAAAATTTGATGGAAAAAAGAACAGCAATTTGCAAGTAAATGGTTACCATTGAAATTCACTACAAGCTGATATTAATTAGAACAATGATAAATTACTTTTTGTTAATAGTAAAATAAGCAATGTATTAAATCAAATACTTAAGAAGGCAATAGTTTAGATTAACTAAGTCAATCATTGAAAATGTTCATATGTGCCAATTTATCTATTCTTTGAAAATTATTCTCAGAAAACATGAACAAAATGTGCATGGGCATATTAACCCACATTCTCCTTGAGGTAGAATTCTCCTCATCTATTTCACTCCTCCACTTCCCAAACAAGTTTACGAGGCTAATTTTCTATACACAGTGTCTCTAATTCTCATTCTTGAGTTTCCTTTTCAATCTAATCCCACCTGGTTTCTGTCCCATTAATTCTACTAAAGCAGGTCATCCTAATGCCACCAGTGGCGTCTGTTTTCAGGTCCGCTGGGATAGTTCTTCTGCACCTGCCCTACAAGCAACACTCTATCTCTTAAACACACTCCTTCCCTTCAGTAGTGTGCCCCCCACTCTTCCCTATTTATCCTTCTAGCTTCACTAGCCCCTCCACCTCAGTGTCCTGTGCAGACTCTCTTCTGCCCAACCCTTAAATTCTGAGGGTCTGCAAGATTTAGGTCTTCTCATTGTCCACGCTATATGTGACCACATGCATTACGATGCCCTCATTATCAGATATGCATTTAAGGAATTCCAAATTAATACCTCCCCATGGCATTTCTAGGCCCATGTTCCCAACTGCCAATAAGACTTCTGCATGTAAATGTCTCCCAGGCACCTCAGAAAGGGCATGTGACATTCTTCCTTTCCAGACTCATTTGTAACTAAACTTCTCGTGTAAGAACATCATTTTCCTTTCCTTCTCTCTTCAGTGTTTATTATAATTGAAATAAAATAATCATTAGTACCAACGTTATGTCTTCTATTCTGTAAAACACAAAGTTGCAATACAACTGGAACTGAATTTGTTGTGTTCACCTGTATTTCTTGACCACAATTACACAAATATCATTAAGAGACTCAACTTATACATATCATCTGAATGCAGAGAATGAGTAAATAAATTTTACTACTTATTCCCCAATATCATTTACAAACCCAGGGTTTGGATTTTGATCTCAATAATAAACAAATTCAAGAAATTTTCTTTGATGAGAATTTAATAAATAAAACAAATTGCAAACTTAATAACATAGAAAGGTAAACATAGGTTTTAAATTTTCCATACAATGTAAACATGAACATGTAATTACATATGATTTTTAAATATTATATATTTAAATATTATCAATATTAAATATTATAAATATGATAAATACTAGAATAACTAGAATAAATAAATAATAAATAAATAAGCAAACAAACAAACAAGCCTAATGGCAGTAACCTCCTATGGACTGATGACACAGGAGCTGAATTTTTCTAACATATTCTTGCTTACTGCTCTAACAAAAGATTTGCTGAATTAAATTTAATAAATTCTGTAACTAAAGTAGAAAAAAAGCCATCTGAAATGAACAAAGACACATGTGCAAGAGTGATGTGACACACTCAGCAATGGGAATCATTTCAAGATGGGCCCAGGTTTCCATCCTACATTCCTAACATTTTCTGCAAGGGTGTTGATAAAAACAAGGAAGTCGTGATTTCCTCTCTGACGATCTCCCAGGCACAGTCACTGTATTTCTTCTCTTTCAAGTAGAGACGGATGCCGAAGAAGTACCTCTTCACGGCCAGCGTAGGGTCCTTCTTTCCCAGGGCAGGTTCTGCCTGTCCCGTCTCCTGCTCCAAACAGGTGTCCAGGTCCTGCAGCTGCCAGTGGAGTCCAGTGCGGAGCTTGTCCAGCAGGGTCGTGTTCCAGGCAGCAGAGGACCGCTCTGTGAGGAAGACTCTGGAGGTCTGCCAGAGCAGCTCGTACAGGACAGAGATGGCCTGGGTCTCCTGCACCTGGCTGCCATCCACCACCTCCTGGGGGAATCTGAAGTCTTTTCTGTCATCCAGACAGAGGGAAGGAGAGATTCTCCTCATTTGTTCCAGAAGCACGAAGTTCTCCCTGGTGACCAGGACGTGGTTTGGAGACAGGTTGCAGCCCAGAGATCCCCCGGGGCCATAGCTGATCACCACCAGGGCCGTGAGGAGAGCGAGCGGGAGGGCCATGGAGAAAAGTGGGTGCTGGTGGCCTGGCTGAGCTGAGCGTCTGATGAACCTTGGACTGCAGGTTCTCTGATGACATTCTTTCCAAGCACGGCCATTAAATAGGGAAGACAATCATTTTCATTTTCTAAACATTTCTCTGCACTTCCTTATTTTGTTTTCATTCATGTGTTCTCCGTGTGGTCTAAGAAGATACCAGTCTACACTATTAATTTTGCAGTAGGAGTTTGAGTTTCCATAAAGTACAAATATGCCAATTGAAATGAATACTTATCAATCAAATGAGAAATGTCCTTGTCCATAAGTCAGAACTGTATGCAGGTTTGTAAATACTCAATCACGTGCACATACTCATGTACTTTTTTAATACATAAATACTTCTCTTCTCTGCTTTAGAAACAAAATTTGACCTTGAATCTAGACAACATTTTTACCTCCTTACTTTATTTGCAGAGGGAGACAGCCTCCCTCAGCCATGGGGCTTGTGTATTTTGTAGGCACTTACCACACCATGTATAGTAAATAAGCTCTTTAGCTCCAAGGACTGGGATTTGTTTACTATTTTATTCATAGCAGAGGCAGAGGATCATTAGTAAGTAAGTTCCTGGAATGTTTCTCTTTCCTCTAGAACACATTCATGCAGGTGCATATGGTCATGCTTCACTGGGACACGTGGTCAGCACTAATAGAGACATAGCCCTTTCTTTCCACCATGTCGTAACTGGCCTATAGGGCTTCTCAGGTGGTGCCAATACTTCCAGCAGGAATCCTGGTTCTTTTCTGGTGCATGCAAGTGTCACGTTTCTAATACAAAGATAACTTTATTTCCCCAGTAGCACCTCTCTCACAAAGGAAGTATCACTTCTAGAAACCCTTGCCCTCAGAAATGATACAGTGTCCTCAACCCAAACTCTCTTGACTCACTTCCTGAGGGCAGGCTGACCACAAGTTGAAGACTTTAGGATTCCCCTGCTGTGGAGAGATTCTGTCATTATTAGCAAAATAACCACTTTTCCAGGATCCTGGCCCTTCACCCTGGATGTCTGTGCTGTGCACCCTAGTTCTCACTGGTGCCCTCCCCCTGACCCATTACCCAGGTATCAAGAGTGAAAGCAGACCTCAGTGCTGATGCCAAATTTATGTTTTCTAAGTAGATGGAGGAAATAGTTGTCCAATTGTAATCATTTTAACTTTAGTAGGCAAATAATTTTTATTTTTCCAGTACAGCTTTAATTGTTTGATTCTTTTACATCAAATATTGGACACTGGTTTTGCTCAAAATTTCTGAGCTGGATACAGGAGATTCTATGATGACGTCTCTCAGCAGAAACTTATAGGACAGAAGCTAGTGAAGTTCAGTTGTTCATTCAGTCTGCGTATTTCTATTGAGCTTCTTTGTTCATCCTTCTTCATCTCATGCTCAGAGAGCAATGAGGCCCAGGCTATTATGTCAGGGAGACATATTCGCCTTTCCTTTACTCTTTTGTGCTATTTCATTTTAAGTTTAAAAAACAACAAGAATCTTAATATCTTAGATTTTTGCATAGCGGTTTACTGGGCATACTCTCTGTCTTACTCTACTGGCATAATTTCTGTTTCATCCTGTGGTTAATACAAACAAAAGGAGGCAGAAGAATGGCAAAAGGGCTTCACTGTGTTTCTCTGTAATTTCCAAGACTTCAGAGTTTTTGTTTCTCAGTTCAGCTTTCCTAGAAAGCAAAACTTGACAGTTGTTTGTGGGCAAAAATAAAACCAATGTAATTCAGGATGTCATGAAAGTGCAAGAAGGGAAGTGACTTTTCTGATGACAAATGACCAATTGTAAGTTTGCAAAATTCAGTGTAGCCAAGTTGGGGACCTGGAGCTATAGCAGAGGGGAAGGAGGAAAGCCAGTGTTGAATTACAGAATCAGAAAATGGCTGCTTCTGCCAGAGGCTCACAGAGGAGCACCTCCTGGGTCAATTACCAGCCCTCGGGTTTGAAGACCAGCCATTTCATTTTTCTTTCATTGAATCCACATGTGATCAGCTCTGAGGAGAGAAAGGAGGAATCACACCAAGCAACTCTCAAGAGACTGGCTCCCTGAACCCCAGTTGCTAGAACACTAACCCTCTCTGGTAGGACTGTGGCTATTAACCCTTGCCTGAGCACACTATCTACTTAACAAATCCACTGAGGCAATTAAAAGGTTGCCTTGAGGAATCTGAAATGAAGAGAGAAGGAATTAAGAAAAGATTCAGCAGGTCGGCCGAGTGGCGCAATGGTTAAGAGCTGACTTGGGACGCCAGAGGGCCCCGGTTCGGATCCCACATGTGAGGGCCAGTGACACTGCCCTCCACAGCTAAGATGCTAAACAACAGTTCAACCTGGGGCTGGGCTGCTGTGAGTCGCTGGGACTAGGCTACAGCCTCTGCTGCAGTGGGTTGCCATGGGCTACCGTGTGCAGCTAGCATCCAGCATGAGCAGCTGTCCAGAAGCCAGTGACTGATCTGCCTCGCTTGGGAAGAACTCATGATGGTGCCAACTTGGGCCAGTGAAGCAACGTCCTCCACAACTAGACTGAAGAACAAAGGGACAGCAACTTGTCTGTTTGCCTTCCCCCAATTCCCTAGTGCTGTTCCCATCCCCCCAATTCCCCAATTAAAAAAAAAATCTTTCAAAAAAAAAAAGAAAAGATTCAGCTCTTTTTTTTTAAGATTTTATTGGGGATTCAGGGAGGGGAACAACGTTGGGGAATCGGGAAAGGGGAACAGACAAGTTGCTATCCTTTGGTTCTTCAGTCTAGGTTTGGAGAAGGTCACTTCACTGGCCCATGTTGGTATTATGATCATTTCGCTCTTCCCGGCTGAGGCAGTCAGTCTCTGGCTGTTGAACGGCTGCTTATGGTGGCTCACGGCAGCTCTCGAGGCTGCCGGCCACTCAAGGTACGCATCACTGGCTACACATCACTCACGGTAGCTCATGGCACCCCACTGCAGAGCCGCTGCAGCCTACGCTATCGCTGGCGACTCACGGCAGCCCAGCTCCAGGTTGAGCTGTTGTTCGCCATCTTAGCTGTACAGGGCGCAGCGTCACTAGCCCCCATGTGGGATGCGAGCCAGTGGCCCTAATGCTCATAGCCCATGCTCCCAAGCCAACCCTCAACCAATTGAGCCACTTGGCCAGCTCAAGATAGAGCTCATAATCTGGATAATAATGACAATGGCATTTTAAATGAAAACACCAACATTTATTGCACGCTAACTATGGATCAGCCACTGTTCTAAGAACTTTGAGATTATTAACTCAATCTTCTCAATAGCCCTATTTGTATTACACTCATTTATGAAACAGTTTGGACAGAAATGTATATCTGGAGGGATGAATTTTTCTGAAGGTACCAAAGATTCAAGGTCAAAACCTTAAGAAGATTTGAAATAATGACCTGTCTAGAAGGGCCTGTCAAAAGAAGTGAAGGACTGAAATGGGCATGAGAGTGAGGAACCAAGGAGAGGCCATGACATGAAATCAGAAGAGCAGGGAACGTGAAGTGATAAAGGATTTCGAGTTCCTCTTCAAATGCCAAAGAATTGATGTCTATTGTTTGGTATGTCAACAGGAAGTGACCTGTATGAGTCAGCTCAACTGCCTGACTTCTAAGAAAAAGTGGACAGAATCCTTTTAAATAGTTATAAGAGAGTAGATTTTTCTGTCAACTGAACAGAAGCGTGCAGCTGGCACTGGAGGAACCCTCGTCCCTTCCAATACTCAGCACGCTGCTGTGGCATCCGTGTCACAGGTCCTGGGGACAGTGCTGTTGGCCTTGTCTCCGTGGGAGAACGCTGTGCTCTCAGCATTCACTTCAGCCTTCTCCCCTCTGAACTGGAATGACCTGGAGAAATAGCTGACTCAGTGCTGTCCATTCGTTTCTTATTGTTCCATGTCCTGAGGACCTGCCTACTGCAGTTCACACTTTAAACGTCTATGATTTCCTTCCAAGTTCTGGAGCTGCTGCTGATTTTCAACTCCTTCATGTTTCTAGATGTGCACTGTGATATATTTGGAGCAAATGTGAGTCCTGGTGCAGCCTCGTCGTAGTGAAATCAAAGGTGAAACAGCCTAAACAGAAGTCCAGATGAGCTGCTGGATTCTTTTTTGGAAAACTTCTAACTTACCTTTAAGAAAGCCTTCATGCACCTTCCGAAAGGAGTTATTTCCCAACTTCCTCGCCGCTCCACACCCGCAGTGGCAGGCTCTAAGCTGCGAAGTGGCCTGAAGGGACAGTAAAGGGAGTGACAATTCAGGAGGCGCTGGCCAGCTGAAGCCTAGAGGGATGCCCTGCCTGCAGCTGGGGGACTCTCACTCTGCAAGCTACAACAGCTGAGGAAGTGGGCTCACTCAAGTATTGGGGTGAAAATCTTTCCAGGACAGAGCCTCTTTGTAGCTCTGAAGAAGTAGGTGGAGGGTCAGACACTTGCATGGAACATAAGGAAGCCTGCTCGCTGCAGACTTGGTTGATTGTCTTCGTCCCTCTTGGCCAATAGGTGGCTCGCTTCCTCTGTAAATGTTTTCTTAGTCCCCAGGGTGAAATGGACCCGGCTTTCTACTTCCTTTTAGTTACAGCTACTGTTACATCATGGTAACAGGGACACTCCGCAGTTCCAAAATATCCATCGGAAAGAAAAATAGTCTCTTATATAGGAGTTTCTGAAACACCTAGAATTCTCATTCAACTGTTGCTTTTAATTGGTGGCTTTGTACTCTTAAAGGGAAATTGGCGACCAGAAACCTGAAAGGGGCAGGAGACAGCTGTATGGATGGGCCCTGCAGGTGAAGGAGGAGTGAGTGAGGAGAGCACACTGGGGATTCCTACACTGGGGTAAGAGGAAGTGGTTGTGATATGGGAACAGAAGAAGGGGATTCAGAAAGCAAGGAGGGAAGGCGGTTTAGAAGACTAACTTCTCTTCTATCTAGTTATGCAAGCCGCCATTTCCTAACTGTACATAGAAATCAGACTTATCTTG